TTCTCAAAATGCTACGACGATCAGTTAAGTAAGTCTTAAACCAGTTCAAAAGCGTCGGCGATACTCCATACAATAAGAGCTTCAGCAATAGTAAATCATGATTAACTTTGTCGAAGGCTTTTGTCATTTCAAATAAACAGTATCGACCTGGCCTCAAGAAAGAACTATAGGAACTGAGTAACCAAGAAATGAACAAAAGTTAGTTTCCACGAAGCGTGCCTTTAAAAAACCATGTTGAGCACTACTAAATTTCCGTCTAAAATAATACGAAACACGAGTGTAGATGACCATCTCAAATACCTTCGAAAAGGCACACAGCAACAATATCGGTTGGTAGTTATTTACGTTATAAACATCACCAATTTATACACTGCATGGTATGACAACATACGTTTTTCAAGGTGATGGAAAAACACCACTTTTCAACGAGAGGTTAAATACGTGATTTAAGATGGGGGCTATTAGGTGTGCACACCCCTTGATAATAAAATTCGGTATCATATCCATTCGCACTGAAAACTTCGACTTTAGTTTTAATATCACTTCTCGATCTTCTACTGTGTCAATAGAAGTGATTGTCAGAAAATCGTGGTAACCAGTATTGTCAGAAGGGGTATAACTCGAGAAGGAATCTGAGGAGTAGCATCCACCAAACTGATCCCGAAAACAATTGGCTACGTCTAGAGGAGACAATACACATCCGGTGTCGCCCCGCGGTCATATACTGTCGCTTCTTGTTTTTGTATGCTGCTTTACAAATTTCCAGAAGTCGTCAAGCTTTCGGTGTAGACAGCTTTCAATTCTTTGCTTATAAAGCTGTTTGTCATACTTGAATAACTTTTTAACTATCGTCCGGTAGATACCGAACTTTGTGTATCATAAATCGACACCGCTTTGCTGATAAAGTCTATGGAAGTGCCTTTTTCTGTATAGTAAGGCGATATGGTATAGTAAGGCGATATCTCAAATGGACGACCGTATTTTTGGAAAAAGAAGTCGAGATTGAACCAGGCCGATGAGGCGCGTGATCGTCAAGGTACTGAGTTTCCTACTCTCTTCACTCCGCTCCCTCAAGGCCGCGAGACGGAAAAGACGCGAGGCCGTTCCCTCTCCTTCTCGGAGAAACACGACGTCAACATTCCTGCCAAATTCGCCTATTTTTTTTTTTTTTTTAAGTACGGTCATCCGTTCGAGATATCGCTGTATGAGTGATGCTTTGGTGTTTGTAGCATCCCGTTGCGTGCTTTAACCGCGTGTTTTGGTGAATCCAGATTTCGGTTCAGCATCCCTTTATGAACGCGAGCCATTTTCTGGGGAGTTAGTGGATTCCGACTCAAAAGAACATACTCCTTTAAGCTTTCCAAAGAACTGGTGATATATGCAACCCTCAGGCCAGACTTGAGGGTTGTTAATCAAGTCAAGTGAAACATTGTCTACAGAAACGTGAAATGAAGAATAGGACTGAAACTTTGTTTTTACCTTCGTGCAACAGATATATCTGCTGCCCAGCAATGGTTCAATCAGAGCGTTAACATCGGCCACAGTCGTGGTCGGGCCACGTCGCGACACAAATAGGGATCTTCAAGCAGGGGCATGGGAAACAGAGGTCACATTTGAAGCTTTTGCGGTTCCCACTGACGGCTTCTGACGGCGTCGGGGAACGACCATGATGAAGCCATCGTTTTCTGTCAAATTGTCGCCCCGTTGTCGTTCGCTGACACCGGCAGAGTCGAGACCCCCCATGTCTTGCCCGTTGGGGCTATCCTTGGCACGCTGAACCGTCGCGGTTGCTGTGCCTCGCGAAGCACGGTGTGCTGCATCATGCGTTCCCGTTGTTGACAGCTTCTGTTGCCCAGCAGATAACGATGGAGTTGCTGTGGCATAGTTCCAGTGCTGCACTGAAGCTTGCGGCACACGCCCAAGAAGCTGTTTTTTCAAGAATCGACACTTGCGAACGGAGGCTGTTCTTGTCCGCCCGTAAACACTTCACCTCGGCCGTTAAAACGTCTAACTTGACCACAATCTTGTCAAAAACACTTGCCAGTACACGTGGGACGACCAGCGGTTCGCCGACGATGCTATTTTCCGGAGATGAATCATCTTCGCTCTCGGAATCAGACCTATCTGGTACAGCTTGCGTGGAGGTATCTTCCGATGCAGCCCGGTTTCGCCGAGTGCAAGCACTGCATTTGTATGCGCTGGAACCTGATGACACGAGCACGTTGTATTCCTCAAGGCCTATGTTCCCTAGTAAAAAAAATCATTTGTATGAGAAATTTCTTGTGTCCAAGAAACACATATGAATCATACAAGATATATAAGAACATATAGGAACATATAAGAACCATATAAGAATTATATGAGAACTATATAAGAATTATATAAGATATATAAGAACCACATAGGAAACTTATAAGAAACTTCCCACTAGTTTCTTATATGGTGCTTGTATGTTCTCATGTATCTTATATAGATCTTATATAGCTCTTATATGGTTCTTATAAGGTTCTTATATGTTCTTATATATCTTGTATGATTCATATGTGTTTATTGGACACAGAAATTTCTCATACAAATGAGAATTTTCAATAGGGTTGATGCAAGCACAATGATATATTGCGTTTGCAGCCGCCACGAGAAGCTATAAATTTCTGCTTGCTGATTATGAGGGTGGAGAAATTTCCACACGCAACCTTCTTTGGCGCCATTTTGAAAAAAAGATGGCCCGAATTATGCGAGGTATATGAGAACCATACAAGAACCATGTAAAACCTATATAAGAACAATTTAAGAAACGTATAAGACACTTCCCGAAAGTTTCTCATATGTGTGCTTGTATGTTCTTATATAGTATCTTATATAGTTCTTATGTAGTTCTTATATGGTTCGTATATGTTTTTATATATCTTTGTCGTGCTACAACAGAAAAAATGAAGCAGAAGAGGAAAACGTCCGAGGAAGCAGGCCGGAGGAGAAGGGGGCGAAAAGAGGAAGGAGAGGGGTTCTTGTTCGGCGGTAACCCGACCAGGTGGAAGCACACCCGGCAACGTCCCGAGGGTGTTGCTGTCGGGTGAAACATCAGCTTGGCGGTGCGCAACCAAAGTGGCAACATCGGGCATGAACGAGGCATTCGGCAGCGATCCGAAGTAGCCGCTGGTGGAAAAGATTATCGACTTCGGCGGTGTCCCGGAGCAGAACATCCCCGACCAACCTTAAGGAACACCCATTAAGGAACGTCACTGGGAACGACTTCGGCGGTGTCCCGGAGCAGAGCATCCCAGACCATCAACAAGGAACAACACTCACCAACAACCAAGCGCTGCTGAAAACAAGACAGCACCAAGACCTTCAGCCACACAAGGACGGACTGAAAGTGAGACAATTTCTGACCTGTATATTTGTGTATAGCTAAAACGTTTCTTATTTTTTGTTAATGTTTTTTAATATATATATATATATATATATATATATATATATATATATATATATATATATATATATATATATATATATATATATATATTGATCAAACGTCACGGTGTGACTGAATTCCTCCTTCGGCGGTTTGACCTGAACCTATAACATCACAATTTGGCGAGCTTGCCAGGATACAAACCGCAGAGTGAGAAAACCAGTTGTACCGGTGAACAGTTCCCAACAAGTTTGAAATGGATTTTGAAAAGATAATGGCTTTGGGAAGCTCCCTCGGACCAACAAAAGAGGAAGCGTTGCATCTTCTGGAGGGGGAACGAAAGCGTGAGAGAAAGGAGAGAGTGCACGCTAGAGAAGATTCCAAACTCGAACATCAGAGGAAACAGCAGAAGGCTGAGAGGGAGAGAGAGGACGCCAGACTGAAAGCGGCACATGAGATCGCTATGACAGAGCTTAAGATCAAGCTCGCGGAAACAGAACGCGCCAGTGGAGCGACAAGAGACGGAGGGAGCGAAAGTCAGTCAAGAGGACAAGGGTGCTTGAAGCAATTGATGCCGCCCTTTGACGAGAAACGCGATGACTTAGATGCCTACCTGCATAGACTTGAGAGGATTGCGGTAGGACAAGGATGAGCGAAGGAGGAATGGGCGACGTCCCTTAGTCTTTGCCTGGTGGGTGAAGCTTTAACCGCATTGAGGAGGATGACAGCAGCTGACTCCCTAGACTATGAGAAGGTTAAGATCACCTTGCTCCAACGATTCAGACTAACTGCAGACGGTTTTAGAGAAAAGTTCAGACGAAGCAAGCCGGAGGAGGCAGAAACTGGACGACAATTCTCTACCAGATTGAGTGATTATTTTGATAGGTGGCTCGAAATGGCGCAGACAGAGAAGACGTTTGAGGCAGTGAGGGACAGGGTGATTGCCAAACAGTTCCTTAGTTGCTGTCATCCTAAGCTGGCCATTTTTCTAAAAGAACGTAACGTGAACGCAGCGCAAGAAATGGCAGAGCTAGCTGACCAGTACCTGGAAGCCCAGGGAAAATGCAATCTGGGTGCTATGAAAGATGGGGGTTGTACAATAGTGAGACCAGACTGCGAAAATAGTAAGGGTACTGGACAAACGGGAGGAGCCCGGAGACCATCGCCTAGATGCTTTCTGTGCAGTAAGGTTGGGCATAAGGCAAGTGATTGCAGAAGCGGATATAGACAAAATCAGGCAGGAGTACGATGCTGGGAGTGCGGCAAAATGGGACACAAAGCTGGACAGTGCGCCAATCACTCACAGAACAAAGCAGCGTGTGTCCTGGACAAAAGACAGAAGGCATCAAAGAGGGACAACAAAGAACAGCAGGGAGCGATAACAAATACAAGATTTGAACATGTTACTGACGCTGACTTAGTACACAATATCGACATAATGATGCCGGTGGTCAAAGGGAGGTTACATGATATTAAGATATCAGTGCTTAGGGATAGTGAAACCAACACAGTACTAGTAAGAAAGAGACTGGCACGAAGTGAGGAGTTCACAGGAACGTCCACTGGGGTTATCCTGGTTGATGGCATTATGAGGGTTATGCCTGAAGCGATAATCAACATAGATACACCTAATTACACGGGGGAAGTACGTGCCGAATGCGTAGACGAACCGCTGTATGACCTCATACTGGGTAACATCCCAGGGGCTAGAAAACTGGACTGCCCGGATCCAGGGTGGGGCGCAAGTACGAAGAAAATACGTCACCAGGGAGATGAAGTGTTTGGCGAAACGCCTTGCAGCATGAGCAAAAAGAACGGGCAAAAGTGAAGAGAAACAATGGCCCCAGCTCAAGGCGCCGGTTATAGAGCTGCTAGAAGTCACAGCTCTTCAATTAACGGGGCAGCAAAAGTCGGATGAGAGTCTGCAGAGGTGTTTTAAAAGTCTGAATAAACGAGTGCGGAAATGGAGATGTGACGTAGCAACGGAATACGTCGTGAAGGATGATTTGTTGCTCCGTCGAGTCGAATTCAGCGACGGGGACGTGAGACACCAACTCATTGTACCAACGGTATTTAGAAAGACTGTAATGGAATTGGCTCAGGATGGAATAATGTCGGGCCATCAGGGGGTAAAGAGCACGGTCGCTAGGGTAGCGGAAGAATTGTTTTGGCCTGGTATGCAAGGTGACGTGAAACGTTACATACGGTATTGTGATGTGTGCCAACGCACTATACCAAAAGGCCCCGTGAAAAAAGCTCCAATGATGAGTATGCCCATAATTGAAGAACCCTTCCACCGGGTAGCGATATATATCATTGGACCAATAACCCCGAAGTCCAGCAAAGGAAACCAATATATCTTGACAATGGTTGATGTAGCCACGAGGTACCCGGACGCTGTGGCATTGAAAACCATTGATACACCGCAGGTGGCAGAAGCTCTAGTCGAGATGTTCTCCCGGTACGGAGTACCTAAGGAGATTCTGAGTGATCGAGGTACGAACTTTACTTCCAATATTGTGAAAGAGATACGACGGCTATTATCCTTTCGGCAGTTGTTAACTACGCCATATCACGCAATGTGTAATGGTCTCGTAGAGAGATTTAATGGTACCATCAAGCAAATGATGAAGAGAATGAGCCAAGAACGGCCCACGGACTAGGATAGGTATATCCCAGCACTCCTCTTTGCCTTTAGAGGAGTACCACAAGCGTTGCTAGGATTCGCACCATTTGAGATGTTGTACGGGCGAAATGTGAGAGGTCCTTTGACCATCCTTAAGGAGCTGTGGTCCAATAAAAGCTTAAACCAGGAGTTAAAAACATCATACGGATACATGATCGAACTCAAGGACAAACTGAAGAAAATATGTGAAGTGGCGCATGAGATCATGGCAGAGGCGCAAACAAAACAGAAAAGGTTCTACGACCGGAAGAGCCAGGCTCGAAGGTTCGAGCCAGGCGACAGAGTGCTCATACTGCTACCCAGTGACTACAACAAAATAACCATGCAGTGGAAGGGACCGTACGAAGTTGCGAGGCGAAAAGGCGATTTAAACTACGAACTGCTGGTTGGCGACAAAAGAAAAACGTTTCGCATAAACATGTTACATACATATGTAGGTCGCGAAACTAGGAATGAAAGTTGAGGTTGAAGACTTAGGGGAGATCACGACGCCCAGTCTAAAAAGGCAACAGGGTGCGCAGGATGTGGTCATCAATCCTAAATTAAGTCAAAAGCAAAAGAAATCTTGCTGACGCGATCGGGGAGTTTGAAGGTATATTCTCTGACGTACCGGGCAGAACAAATGGATTGCAATGCAAACTTCGATTGATGACAGAAGAGCCGTTGTTTGTAAGGCAGTATCCGTTGCCTTTTGCCACCCAGGGTGAAGTGGAAGAAGAAGTGGAAGAGATGCTAAGATTAGGCATCATCGAACGATCCACGTCCGCCTTCAACGCACCCATAATAATGGTAAAAAAGCCTCATATCTCTAATAGGGTTTGTGTTGACTTTCGGCGATTGAACGCAGTCGTAATGGCTGACGCTGAACCTATACCGAGGTCGGACGTAGTGTTTTCAAGAGTCGGGCAAAAAAAATATTTTTCTAAATTGGATCTAGCAAAGGGGTATTGGCAGATACCGATGGAAGAATCAGCCAAAGAAAAGACTGCCTTCTTTACAAGAACGGGCCTTTACCAATTCCGGTTTATGCCTTTCGGACTGAAGACGGCTGCTGCAGTGTTTACCAAGTTGATGAGGTCCGTCCTGGAGGGGGTGCCCAATGTGCATCATTACATTGACGACATTTTGGTGGCCACTGACTCGTGGGAAGACCACTGCGAAACATTACGGCAAATTTTTTAATGTCTCAAGAGGGATCATCTCACGGTTAAGCCAAACAAATGTGAGGTTGGGTTTGACGCGATAACATTTTTAGGTCACAAGCTTGGTATGGGCCAAATCGCACCGAAGAGGGAAATAATAGAAGATTCAAACAAGCATCGGTGCCAAAGACAAAAAAACAGGTGCGAGCCTTTCTAGGTCTTACAGGGTATTATAGAGAGTTTATACCCCGTTATGCAGAGGTAGCAGCCCCACTTACTAACCTCACAAGGAAGGGACAAAGTAACACAGTAGAATGGTGCTCTAAACATGACACAAGCTTCAAAGAGCTTAAAAGAAGGCTGGCAGAACAACCCATTTTGTTAGCGCCCGATGTGTCTAAGCAATTTGTCCTGCGTACGGATGCATCAGACGAAGCTTTGGGAGCAGTGCTGTTGCAAGAGCAAGAGGGCATGCTGCACCCAGTGTTATATGGCAGTAGAAAACTTAGCGCGAGCGAAAAGAACTTTGCGGCTATAGAACGTGAGTGCTTCGCACTCGTGTGGGCAATTGGTAAATATGCTATTTACCTGTACTGAAAGGAATTCGTAGTTGAGACGGACCATCAACCGCTAGAATATTTGAATAAGACGAAACTCAACAACGCGAGGGTAATGAGGTGGAGTTTATCTCTGCAAGAGTTTACATTTAGGATTAAGTATATAAAAGGCAAAGACAATATCGGGGCGGACTACTTGAGCAGAGTTTGATCGACACAAAGGGGTAGGGTGGAATTTTTTGTTTTATATATGGTAATATTTATACGCATGATGGAAGTATACCGTGATACAGTAACGGGTAGAAGTGCTTTAGCTGCGGCAGTGAAATGCAGCTGATGTTCTGGTGTACCTGAAATTGTGAACTGGGTGCGGGCCAGATATAAAACGTTCAGGGTGTGAAAGTGATGCGCAAACTGATGAATCAACACAGGGACGTAAACAAAAAAAAAGGGGGGATGATGCATCAACGTGGTGTAGAAATTTAGTACGACTAAATTCTAGAGGAGGGGGTAAAGGTCGTGCTACGACAGAAAAAATGGAGCAGAAGAGGAAAACGTCGAGGAAGCAGGCCGGAGGAGAGGGGGGCGAAAAAGAGGAAGAAGAGGGGTTCTTGTTCGGCGGTAACCCGACCAGGTGGAAGCACACCCGGCAACGTCCCGAGGGTGCTACTGTCGGGTGAAACATCAGCTTGGCGGTGTGCAACCAAATCGGCAACATCCGGCATGAACGAGGCATTCGGCAGCGATCCGAAGTAGCCGCTGGTGGGAAAGATTATCGACTTCGGCGGTGTCCCGGAGCAGAACATCCCAGACCAGCCTCAAGGAACACCCAAGGAACATGACTGGGAACGACCTCGGCGGTGCCCGGCGCAGAGCATCCCCGACCATCAACAAGGAACAACACTCACCAACAACCAAGCGCTGCTGAAAACAAGACAGCACCAAGACCTTCAGCCACACAAGGACGGACTGAAAGTGAGACAATTTCTGACCTGTATATTTGTGTATAGCTAAAGCGTTTCTTATTTTTTGTTAATTTTTTTAATATATATATATATCTTGATCAAACCTCACGGTGTGACTGAATTCCTCCTTCGGCGGTTTGACCTGAACCTATAACATCACAATCTTGTATGATTCATCCGTGTTTATTGGACACAGAAATCTCTCATACAAATGAGATTTGTCAATAGGAAAGGCTAGCTGCCTTTATCTCCAATGCAATCTTCGAACGGGTTGGAGTGCGGAATGGCCAACTCCTGATGTTCGGCTCCGGAATTCGAACATGTTCGACGAGTGCAGTGGAGACAAAGGCAGCTAAAGCTTCAGGTTGACCCACTACCCACGTAGCACGAATTTCGGTCAAGAAGTGGGCAATGGCTGCCGATGGTCTTTTGGCCAATGGTCAAATAGCGGCCATTCAATGGCCAGTGTTTGTCCGATGGCTGGTAGAAAGTGGCCATTGGTAAATGACCAGAGAAAGGCCAGTCATCGCCCAATGGCTGGCCACCGTCTGGCCACTGGCCAGAGGACCATTGCCAGCCATCGGCCAATGATTGGCGAAATTTGTGCTGCTTGGGCTCGGCGTTCTCTCTCTCTTTGACGACCTCGTCGCGCTCTCAACTTCTCCCCTCCCTCATTCTGTCGGCGCCTAGACTGGAGCGGGCAGCACTTCACTATACGGCGTAACGTGGACGCTGCCAACCATCTGGCAAGGGGGAGTGGGGCTCCCGCTATGGTATCGCACGCTACCAGTACCGCATCACACGCGGTGAGAATTGAGGCTCTCAGGCAGTGGATCTCCAGAATCAACCAGGTGGAGCCAGCATTCTCTGCAGGTTAACACCCCCTTCAAATTTCGAAGGCTCGGAGTGATCAAGTTATTTCGTCTTTGTGAGTCACCAGCACGAAGCTACCCTTCGCTGTATTCCAGTCTCCTCGGCACGCGTCTTTTTTTTTTTTTTAGTGGAGCATTTAGGCGCCCGTTTCGTCCTTGAGCGGCAACGCCGTCGCCGTCGCCATTGGCGCAACCGCGCGTTGCATCACGGGACGTTTCTCATAATGACGTCACACGCGACGCCAGGAGGGTCATGAGTGACGTCACGAGGGAGGAGGAGAAAGAAGGAGGAGGGAGAAGAGGACGAGGGGAGGACGAGGAAAGGAGGGAGGGGGAGGGGGAGAGAAGAGGAAGGAGAGGGGGAGGAGGAGCATACCCTCCTCTTCGTACCCTCGCCTCCTCTTCCTCAGGAGCTGCACTCTGATTCGGCATTACAGGGAGGTAAACGACTTTCATTTTTTGTTGTATATCTTTAGATGATTGCGGTATTTAGAAAAATGACGCATTCTGTATTCTCTATGAAGAAATCAGCCTAGAAATCATTTCGTTAGAAATTGCGCTTCTCTTTGCCATACCAAAAATATACCGACTAATATTGCGTCGTTGGTAGAGTGGTATGATGGTCTTTATGACCATCCATACCAGCTATGGTATGAATGGTGCTGGGCTCGTTTTAGTTTATTCTGGTTTGCGAATGTTATCATGATTTTGCTATTATCTCACATGCCGTCTCGTGACCCACCGGCCTGCAAACGTAATTATTAATTCTAGATTTATTACTTCATGTTCTAAGGAGTTTTAATATACCTATATATCTAGAGGTTGTAACACATATGAGTTTATTTTTATCACCAATTGGCAATGCCCGACGACATTACTCAACCCTATAGGCGATACCTTCTAGGTAAGGCAAACTATATACTTACACAAATTACCGCTACAGGGATCCCGTAATCATATGCTGATGGTGGGCGATAGTTCGTACCACAGCGGGGCTGCGTCTGCGCTTCCTCGAGCATGCCTAATTTATTCAGATTGCATTTTTGTCTTCAAGTTTCTTTGTCTGTAGAATTCGCATAGCACGATATTTTACAAGACGCATGCAGGGTATGAAGGCGATGGAAAAAATAAATGGCGAATGGCCGTAAAAAGCACGAACAAGAATGACGCCGGTGAAGGAAGAGACGCGTTTGGAGGGAGAAAAAACGCCCCTACAATTTCCTTCAACATAATGCCGAGTGGAGCCAGAAGCTCTTGAAAACAAAAACGCAAAT